ACGCTGCTGGAGTATAAAGCGATTTTGATTGCTACCTCGCGGCCAGTCGACGGCTCTATGATTCACTCTTGAAGTGTAATTTGATTTATTTCTCCAGTTACTCTTAACACCCGGTGTGGTTTCTTCATATGTGGCCTGTATGAAAATGATCATAATTTTTATGGAAGCAGCAGGTTTTTTAAATTAAATGAAGACTTAACTTATATTATTAGTCGACAATAAATTATTTATGAAAATGTTTTAAAATAACATCAAAATATTTTTTACATGCATATCTATGTATAATGCGATAAAAAATTTTTAATGTTAATTAATATAAAAGATTTTTTAATTTTCTAAAATAGTTCCTCTTGGAACGTTGTATTTAAAATTTTGTCGATATATGTATATGTATGACCTTAAAATTTCTCAAAGAAAGTATTTTTCTCTTTCAAACAGAACGCAAATTGTGGGAAAGATTTGATAGAAAGAATGTTAGTAACAGAATAATGAGTAGTACAGGCAGTAATAAATCACTGACGACCGAGCTTGTCGTCATATCTACCACGAAAGAACAGTCATTATTATCTCGAACCACATTTCGCACCACAAAACTTTATATTTTCACACACATTTCAAAACTTTCTCTATCGACTGAATTGAAATAATCGTATAAGAGAGCTATGTGTAATGTATTATATATTGATATAAGCAACAAATATGTGTTATATAATATATAAAAGTTAAATATTTGTTTGAAAAAAGACATAAAATTTTTACATATTTCAAAAAAATATATTTTACTTAAATAATTCGAAAAAAATGAATATATATCAAGTACAATAAATAAAATAATTATCTACGGTCCTAGTCTCCAAATAAGGAAATAAAAGAAACATTCGTACGAGTGTCTAACATACTCTGACGACACCTGGAAAAAAGATATTAATTAAAGCTTTGCGCCGAGTACACACCGACACACATAAATATATCCCGCATGCCATTCCCGCGAGAGAGAAGCCGCCGACGGTTCGTAAAAAGGCAAACCCCGCCAACATTATCCTCGTGAACGAAGGCGCATCCCTTATCGTCGATGCGCGTCGTGCCCTGTCAACGTCGGCTGTAAATATCAATAAACAAACCACCGCGCCCGGTGAGAGCGATCTGCTCTTTCCGGCTGGCTAAGCCGGCCGACCAGTTGAACGAAATAAAGTACGTCGAAACCGGGTTTTAGCGCTGCTGGCCTTTGTCGGGCGCCATCTCTACTCGGCGCAACCGGGTTTTTCAGCGAGCAATTAGAAAGAGATTTATTTGCGCCGGCACGCCGGGCGCACGCTCGCCGACCAGGGGCTGCTGATGTTGCCGCGGCATATTTTTCGCGATGAATAACACGTATGCATAAGGTATCTCGGGATCTTCCAACAACAGCTGCTTGGAGCAGTAAAATCAATTTTTCTTTAAATATTGACAAATATCGGACGTACTGTATTTCGTATTG